GCGTGGTCTCATTCGATTCATCGTGTCATTTTCTACAAGATAAGATCATCAGAAATTTTTGTCCACATATTTTTCCCAGAAACCCCAAGAAAAAACTGTTTTTTTATGTGTTTTTAGGATGTTTTCGGGGGTTTACTCTTCAGGTATTCGTCGGAGGTCAAATCTGAGGTCATATTCTTGTTCCTTGGCCAATTTTACATAAAGTGACCAAATTTTAGCCCTCTACTATGAAAAGTGTAAAATTAGTCCAAAATACCCAAAGTCGTGTTTTTTCTCCAAAAAAAAAAACAAAATTTGGGCCATATCTCGGGCAATAAATTTTCGCGGGACCTAATATTTTGGCTTTAGACTCTCCTTTAGTGAGTTATTAAGCCTACAAAAAATCAGGCAAATCGGAGAGGGTCACCGGAAGAAGTGGTCCGTCTTAGTTGATTTTGCTCAAAAGAAAAGAATTCCGGAGCATGTCAGTAAACAAGGTAGGTTTACGCCAGAACCGCGTCTTGTCGTAACAGGCTTCGCGATGTCTCGCTGCCTGTTCCTCCAATCCACGCCTAGCGTACCTACCTTGGCCTGCGGCGCTAGCCTGCCTTCGGCAGGCAATGGCTTGTCCGTCGTCGGTTATTTTTTAAGGGGGCAGTAGCGTCATTTGCACGTGTTTTGACGATTTTCGAACCTCCTGTTTAGACGTTAATTGGCTGAGCGATAGCGAAGCCTGTTACTCCAGTGGGGTTGAAAAGTTTTGTCTGTCTGTCTGTCTGTCTGTGTGTCTGTGTGTCCGCACTACTCCTCCTGAACGGCTCGGCCGATCTCGGTGAGATTTTGCACACTTCTTGGGTATGTCCTTGGCTCGGCACACGCGAAATTTCACCATCCTAGCTCAACTGGTTCAGTTTTTATAGGCGAAAAACACCTAAAAAACGGCGAAAAATAGAGATTTCTGCAGATAGACCACTTCTGTCTTGGAGAAAGGGGGGTCTGGGGGGCGGACCCCCCCAGCTACGACAAGTTAAAAAGTGACAAGGGTCAAGATCGTGTAATCTGTAGATAAAACAACTCTATTTAGAATGTAGGGGGGTCTGGGGGGCGGAGCCCCCCAGCATTCAACAAGTTAAAAAATAACCGACAACGGACAAGCCATTGCCTGCCGCAGGCAGACTAGCGCCGCAGGCCAAGGTAGGTACGCCAGGCGTGGATTGGAGGAACAGGCAGCGAGACATCGCGAAGCCTGTTACGACAAGACGCGGTCTGGCGTAAACCTACCTTGTATAAAGATAAGTATGAATGCCAGAGACAAACGGCAGGCACCATTTGAAAGATAAAAGTTTTTACAACATTTTCAAAAAAAAAAAAATTTTGTTTTAGCATTGAATTAGGATGTTTTGTGTTCTATGAAAAAATGGTCTGCAAAATTACATGGGTCACTGCGCGCACGATTGCAGCCAAAGTTTTTAACTTTTTACCAATCGGTAAAATGCATCTGAAAAAGCATGAAATTGCCCATAAAATGACCCTTGGGTTTCAATATTGGGCAAGAAAAACTATTGGAACGCTCATCTTCAACTTAAGATGGAAACGAACCACATTTTTTCTGGCCCAATATTAAAACCCAAGGGTCATTTTATGGGCAATTTCATGCTTTTTCAGATGCATTTTACCGATTGGTAAAAAGTTAAAAACTTTGGCTGCAATCGTGCGCGCAGTGAAACCATGTAATTTTGCAGACCATTTTTGCATATAACACAAAACATCCTAATTCAATGCTAAAACAAAATATTTTTTTTGAAAATGTTGTAAAAACTTTTATCTTTCAAATGGTGCCTGCCGTTTGCCTCTGGCATTCATACTTATCTTTATATTAACGTCTAAACAGGAGGTTCGAAAATCGTCAAAACACGTGCAAAAGACGTTACTGCCCCCTTAACTTGATGCATGGTGGGGGGCTCCGCCCCCAGACCCCCCTACATTCCAAAAAGAGTTGTTTTATCTACAGATAACACGATCTTGACTCTTGTCACTTTTTAACTTGTCGAGGCTGGGGGCGGAGCCCCCCAGATCGCCCCCAGACCCCCCTTTCTCCAAGCCAGAAGTGATCTATCTGCAGAAAGCTCTATTTTTCGCCGTTTTTTTAGGTGTTTTTCGGCAATAAAAACTGAACCAGTTGAGCTAGGATGGTGAAATTTCGCGTTTGCCGAGCCAAGGACATACCCAAGAAGTGTGCAAAGTCTCACCGAGATCGGCCGAGCCGTTCAGGAGGAGTAGTGCGGACACACACACAGACAGACAGACAGACAGACAAAACTTTTCAACCCCACTGAAGTAACAGGCTTCGCTATCGCTCAGCCAAAAAGTGCAATTTGGTCAAAAACGACTAAAGCAAAATAGCCAAAAACTTTGATTGCTCACAGTTCCCATACTAACTGACCTAGAGGGCTGAAATTCTGTGGGGATGTTCACCTATGGGTAGGTAACATTTGAGCCAAAAATGAGCAAAATCGTCAAAGGTCAACTTCGACCACTGTCAATCGGCTCTGGAATGCCCCCAAGGCTAGGCAGCGCCGACTTCTGCAGCAGATAAAAGCTCACAGCAACCCCTGTCTCGCTCCTGTGGCACAAGAGGCCGAGGAGCCCTACCAGCACGTCCCGCGTCTGGTTGACGTCATTACCGATTCCTCCAGCTCCTCGCCCACGTCATCAGAGAGCGACTGATACCTTTTCTGGCAGTATCCTTAACCTGTCTAGCCTCTACTTTGGGCTCTTGTTGCTAATCTCCTGTCTTCTACCCTCACAGGAGCGGCACAAACACATGCACATAACACAGCACCCCCAAACGCACAACACTAGGGGTTTTTTCCTTGGGTGGCTCCCTTCAGGCCCACCCTCGGTTTTCCCCCTCTGACCAAATGATGATAACCTAGCTTGAAGCTCCGGCTTCACCGGTCCCAAGCTTAGACGGCTATTAGAGGTGGCTCTCTCCCCCGCGACTCATAGCGGGACCAGTGAGAGGGCTGCTTATCTGGCCATAAAAACATAAATCTGAGGTAAAAAAAAAAAAAAAATACGATTTCAAGAAATCCTAGGAGTCACGAAGTCAATTTGATTGGCTGAGCGATAGCGAAGCCTGTTACTCCAGTGGGGTTGAAAAGTTTTTCCTGTCTGTCGGTCTGTCTGTGTGTCTGGTGTGTCCGCACTACTCCTCCTGAACGGCTCGGCCGATCTCAATGAGATTTTGCACACTTTTTGGGTATGTCCTTGGCTCGGCACACGCGAAATTTCACTATCCTAGCTCAACTGGTTCAGTTTTTACAGCCGAAAAACACCGAAAAAATGGCGAAAAATCGAGTTTTCTGCAGGCTGGTCACCTCTGTCTTGAAGGAGGGGGGTCTGGGGGGGGGAGCCCCCCAGCCTCGACAAGTTAAACAGTAACAAGGGGCAAGGTCGTGTTATCTGTAGATGGAGCAACTCTATCTAGAATGAAGGGGGGGCTGGAGCCCCCAGCATGCAACAAGGGAGAAGTAACCGACGATGGACAAGCCAATGCCTGCCGAAGGCAGGCTAGCGCCGCAGGCCAAGGGAGGTACGCCAGGCGCGGATTGGAGGGAACAGGCCGCGAGACATCGCGAAGCCTGTTACGACAAGACGCGGTCTGGCGTAAACCTACCTTGTTATTGTGTAAGAGTGTGGAGAAAGAAAAGAAGTGGTGTTGTGAAGTTGTGGCTCAGGGGACTACCAATTGCAGTGGTACCAATGTGGTCGATGTGCCACCCGTCGAAATTTAAACTTGACAAAATAGAAAACAAAATGCTGGTAAATTCAAAAATTCCAATGCTAATGTATTCCGCAGTGTTCTGACAATGGAACATCTTTAAAGTCCATCATTATTAAAAAGTTCTTGGCAGAAAGAAGGCAGTAAATTAATTTTCACGGGTTTGGGAACTAGTTTCTCGGCGTCTGCGCCCTTGCGAAAATCGCGAAGCTGAAAGCACCAGCAGCGCGCATTAAAACTGCCCATCCATTGTTGCTGACGTTGAATTGTTTGGCTTGTTTCAAAAGGCTATGGTTCTCTAGTCATGTTTTCTTTCAATTCTGTGTAATAGTTCTCCCTTACAACGTATCAACACCACGAAGGTTTGTTTGACAAACTTCATAAACTCGGGAGGGATGGTTTCGAAACGCTGGTGACTTGTTCGAGGAACATGAGCACCCGCAAGTCGCGAGGTGGAGCGAAGTGGTCCTAGTGCTAACTGAATCACAACAACATCAAAATTGTTTTATTGACAGAAAAGAAAGGAATATTTGAGAAACTGTATGTCAGAAAAAAAGAACTTTTGTTTTGCTAATTTTCTGTGAATATTTTTTTTTGAAAGTCATTACACAAAGATTGAAAATTTGTTTTATATGAAAATTTTTATGAGCAGGAAACAAAGAAAAAAAAAGAAAGAGAGCAAAAATTTAAAACAGATTTCAAATGCTACAGTTGGTTAACTGTTAAAAAGGTTGCAAAACCTACTGCGCATGTCCAAAAACACTCCAATCAAGAAGTATTATTGGATAGTTTCCCCACCCGAAAAACGCGTTCGAACCGACACCAATTTTTATTGTTTCATCTTTTCTACCCCCGCAGTCAAAGAAATTTTTCATTTCGAACGTGCCGATTTCAGCTTTTGGAGTAAGCTGTACAGACCCAAAAAAAAGCTCGGCTATTGGTCCGCCCCGGCTCGGCTCCCCCCACTCCCTTTTTTTTTTCCTTTGACGAGTCGAGTTTTGCCATGGAAACGGCGATTTTGACAGCAAATTTTCTCAAAAATTTGGGCCCCCAACTTTTTAACCAGATTTCAGCATGAGAATCAGCGTTCAAAATTTTACAAGTCTAAAAAATCTCATTAAAATCGTATAAAAAATTGCCGAAATGCATAAAGGGCCACACAAATTGAATCTCGGGCCGGCTGAATCCTGGGTATACTATAAGGCTACTTCGTGCCTAAAAACATCTACACCCACAGTCACATGTATGATGAAATTCTTCAAGCTGTTCAACAATTGGACCAAGAAATGGCTACGCACAATCAAGTGCTACAAAATCAAGAAGAAGAATCTGACATCGAAGAAGAAGCAGGATATGACAGTGATGCGAGTATGTACGAGATGGACATAGACTGATTGAAAACTACACCAGTAAATTATAAAGCAGACTGATTGAAAACTACACCAGTAAATTATAAAGCTGGCTGTGATGTTTGTAAATTTAACAACAGAAGAGTCAGTACGAAAGAACAAACCATTTATTAAAGTTAATTTAACCGAGGGAAAATTGTGTTTTTGTTTGTGTTTTAAATATGATGTAAATTTCATCATTAATTAAATTTTGTTCTCATGTACAAAAAAAAGTCAAAACAAATCTAAACAAGGTAGGTTTACGCCAGACCGCGTCTTGTCGTAACAGGCTTCGCGATGTCTCGCTGCCTGTTCCTCCAATCCACGCCTGGCGTACCTACCTTGGCCTGCGGCGCTAGCCTGCCTGCGGCACACTCTTAAAACCTTACGAAGTATTTTGAGCATACATATAACAAAATAAAATACTTTGTTATACAAAGAAATAGTTCGTAAATTACGAAGTATTTTCTTTGTAAGCTTACGTATGCTCAAAATACTTTGTTATACAAACTACTTTTCTTTGTAAGGCCCAAAATAGTTTGTAAGGTTTTCTCAGTGCAGGCAACGGCTTGTCCGCTGTCGGTTATTTTTTAACTTGTTGAATGCTGGGGGGCTCCGCCCCCCAGACCCCCCTACATTGTAAATAGAGTTGTTTTATCTACAGATAACACGATCTTGACCCTTGTCACTTTTCAACTTGTCGGGGCTGGGGGGCTCCGCCCCCCAGACCCCCCTTTCTCCAAGACAGAAGTGGTCTATCTGCAGAAATCTCTATTTTTCGCCGTTTTTTAGGTGTTTTTCGCCTATAAAAACTGAACCAGTTGAGCTACGATGGTGTGCCGAGCCAAGGACATACCCTAGAAGTGTGCAAAATCTCACGGAGATCGGCCGAGCCGTTCAGGAGGAGTAGTGCGGACACACACACAGACCGACAGACAGACCGACAGACAGACAGACAGACAGACAAAACTTTTCAACCCCACTGGAGTAACAGGCTTCGCTATCGCTCAGCCAATAAAGATAAAAATAGAATAAGAAACTAGAAGAATAAAAAGTGTAGGAGAAATCCGAGGGTGGGATGGAGGGATCTCGGATAAAAACATTGTATAAAAATACAAGGTAGGTTTACGCCAGACCGCGTCTTGTCGTAACAGGCTTCGCGATGTCGCGCTGCATGTTCCTCCAATCCACGCCTGGCGTACCTACCTTGGCCTGCGGCGCTAGCCTGCCTGCGGCAGGCAATGGCTTGTCCGTTGTCGGTTATTTTTTAACTTGTTTAATGCCGGGGGGCTCCGCCCCCCAGACCCCCCTACGTTGTAAATAGAGTTTTTTTATCTACAGATAACACGATCTTGACCCTTGTCACTTTTTAACTCGTCGAGACAGAAGTGGTCTATCTGCAGAAATCTCTATTTTTCGCCGTTTTTTAGGTGTTTTTCGCCTATAAAAACTGAACCAGTTGAGCTAGGATGGTGAAATTTCGCGTGTGCCGAGCCAAGGACATACCTAAGAAGTGTGCAAAATCTCACCGAGATCGGCCGAGCCGTTCAGGAGGAGTAGTGCGGACAGACAGACCGACAGACAGACCGGCAGACAAAACTTTTCAACCCCACTGGAGTAACAGGCTTCGCTATCGCTCAGCCAAAAATAAAAGTCGACTCTTTGTCAAAAAAATGGTCCTTTTCAGGACTACAAGGTAGGTTTACGCCAGACCGCGTCTTGTCGTAACAGGCTTCGCGATGTCTCGCTGCCTGTTCCTCCAATCCACTCCTGGCGTACCTACCTTGGCCTGCGGCCGAGGGGTACGTAACTCAGAACAGTCACTGTACGCCTCCAAAACAGTCCCAAAAACAGTCACACAGTCAATTGGCAGTCACTTCAGTCAAAAGCCAATTTCAGTCAAACTTTGCACGTTTAGGAGGCTCATACATGTTACAAGCACTTTGTAAAAACATTTTATTAGCGAAAAAGGATAAAAATTTTGTGATTTTGTACTGTATTCCTTCTAGATAATTCAGTAAGCTTCTTTTTGACAAGATGTAAAGTGACTTTGAATAACTTTTCGGAAATTTTGTAGTAACGTTTAAAATTTTGGTTCTTGTAAGGTTTTGTTCGCATATTTGATCAGATCTGTGGGGGGAAACCAGTCATTCTACACTCTAAGCAGTCATCCTACAATCAACATAGTCATTTCCCAGTCTAAAAGTCGACTTCCACCCAAGCAGAACTAGACTGTTTTGCAGTCATCTACAGTCAATTACAGTCAAAACAGTCAAATTGACTGTTGACTTTTACAGTCGCTGTACACGATTTTCGAGAGTTACGTACCCCTCGCCTGCGGCGCTAGCCTGCCTGCGGCAGGCAATGGCTTTCTGTTGTCGGTTATTTTTTAACTTGTTGAACGCTGGGGGGCTCCGCCCCCCGGACCCGCCTACATTGTAAATAGAGTTGTTTTATCTACAGATAACACGATCTTGACCCTTGTCACTTTTCAACTTGTCCTTCAACCCCCCTTTCTCCAAGACAGAAGTGGTCTATCTGCAAAAATCTCTATTTTTCGCCGTTTTTTGCCTATAAAAACTGAACCAGTTGAGCTAGGATAGTGAAATTTCGCGTGTGCCGAGCCAAGGACATACCTAAGAAGTGTGCAAAATCTCACCGAGATCGGCCGAGCCGTTCAGGAGGAGTAGTGCGGACAGACAGACCGACAGACAGACAGACAAAACTTTTCAACCCTACTGGAGTAACAGGCTTCGCTATCGCTCAGCCAAAAATGTGTTTCCTGAAAGCATAAGTCGATCAAAGTCTAAACTTACCCTTTCCCATACCACTTAAAGCAAAAAAAAACAGATCAATGATCTGTTTATTTGATATCGGTCCCGCCGGCGAAGCTTGCTGCCGCACCACGAGCACGCCGAAGCACATAACCCCCTGCCGAAACCATCGCATCCTGCCCATACGCGACCCCGAGGAAATAATGACGGAGTCCCCGCAAAAAAAAAGTCCAAAACCCGAAAAAAAATATGAAAAATCGGGCATAGGTTCGCCTCAGGGCCCGCCCCGCCCCGTTAGGAGGGGGATGGAAAATCCACGACAAAAACAACAAACAACCACCACCACGGCCGCGAGGACGGTCGTTGACGGCACAAGCTCGTTTTGCGTCGAAATGACTGTCGGCTGGGCTCCTTAGCTCTTGAGGGGGAGATCGCGGAAGGCGCGTCGCGGACGTTACACGGTATACCCACCTTAACGAATTTTACAAGCTCTCGTACTTTATCGCTTCTCGGCCTTTTGGCTGCGATTGCGTAATAGTTTACGTCTAGGCACCCGGTGCCCGTGACATAGAAAAGCTGAAATCAACGGATGTAGCGTTGTAGACTGTGAACTTGATGGAGGCTTTCCCCGTTAGGTAGGCCTCCATCTCTCCAACACTGCAAAAAAAAATCTGAAATTTAAGACATGAAAATGTCTTAAATTTGATAACATTTTGAAATGATATGAAAACTCAGACAAGTTTGTGAAAAGTGCTATACTTTATTACATTTACCAAAACTAAAATGAGAAGTAATAAATAGTTGGTAAATTTCAAAACCACTTTTAAAACTTAGGAACAGGGTTCTCAAAATTAAGATTGCCTGCCAGAAGTAAAAATTTGTTTCTTAAAATCCTCATGACTGATGACTTTTCATAACCAGATTTCTGAAACTAACTGATTGAAGTTAAAGTTGAACGCTTCAGTGATAGCTGTAACATTCAACGTAAACCGAAGGTTTAGTTTGATTACTTCACGCAAACTGTCGACAAGCCACTTCTCACACGGTATGGCCCACAGTCAGCCGCTGGGTTCAAGGTCAGGTTTCACAGACCTGCCGCTAGGTGGCGCTTAGAGCGCCGTGTCCGTTCCCGAATAAGTATTTCCTATTTGTATTTCTAAAAGAACTTCTTTTGCCAAATGATACCATCTGTTGCCTTAGTAAATGTCTTCTCTAGCCGCTAGCTGAAATTTTTTAACAAAATATTCCACTGGAGTTGAGTAAAACGCATAACCATGTTGCCACTCGCTGGCGTCTGCTGTCGGCCATAAGGTTAGGTCCAGGCACCTCCTCCGCTGAGGCACAGTCGGAAGATGGAAGTTATACAATTCTAAGGTCTTCGTGCTCCGACTAATTTTTGACAACCGACTCTGTTATGTGACACGATGTATGATGCATTTCAGAATTCTGACATCCACACTCGAAATCGGACGTCAATATAGAAGTTCTTTTCTCCCACTTTAGTCAAATGTTTATGAATTTTAATAAACCATGATCTATGAATTTTAAAAACTTGGTCATTAGTTTTAAGAGGAGAAAGTTTCTTACTTTTAATAGCAAAAAATCTTTGTAAACTGCTTCACAAACTAGTTTCTTAAAATTAAGATGGATTTTTTTTTGCAGTGAAGAACGTCGGCAACTACTCCGAGACCATCCAGAACTTCCAGACCAACGAGCTCCGCGCTACGCGCTTCCCATTGAAGACCGTCAAGATCGTCCAGACCTTCTAGACCTTAGACCGTCACTCCTTTTGGTCTGGAAGACCTTAAACCCAAAGCACAGACGTGTTTGCTGACACCCTAGTCGGGGTCAGAGGTTCCACTCCTCCCACGTCACAGCCGTGAGGCGGCGGGGGCTGTATAAAGGCAGGAACCTTCGGGGGAGAGCCGGGAACTCAGTCCCTATTCATAATACTGAGTTCTTAACAGCAGACGGAGTTGGTTTAACTGCTCACTCTTAGGAGTGCATAGAGCAGCCGCACGTGAAAACCAAGGGGGTGAAAGGCCAGCCCAGCACACTGATAGGGTTAATTTCTCACAGTACCTATAAACTAGGTCCCAGGTCCCTAACGCTCAATTTCAGAGCCAAGTTAAAGACACCACTTGAGCCCTACACCCCCAAAGCACGATCTGTGCTGAGACCTTCCTTCATCTTTCATCGTTAAGCGCATAGAGCGCGAAGTACTCACGTCAAGAGGCATTATTGCCGAAGACGCATCCAGACCATCAGTATCCGAGTAAAGCCCTTGAGGGTGAAGACTGGTAACCCTTCGCATCCTTTCAACCCACCACATCATCCCCAGAGCCCCACAAGAGGCGCTAAGAAGATTCCAACACCTTCACATTTGTGCTTAATGACTCATTAAGCACATTTTGTCATTTGCCAATATCTTCAATCTCCCCTCTCCAGTCTGACTTAAGCCCTTCAGGGCGAAGTATCGGACTCTTCGCACACCCCCTAACATCATCACAACCCCCAGAAGCCACCTGAAGAGGCGTTAGAACGAAACTCGCACTTTACAATTTGCGCTTAAGATCCCATTAAGCACTCTTTTGCAAGTCACTGATTAGTGCAAATCCGCACTCTCCAAGCCTCAAGATCAAATCATCATGCACTCCAATCTCCCCCAACGCCCCCCGGACACGGACCGGCGCAACCCACCCTCCAAGAAGACCGCTACCCCCAAAAGCCACCCCTACGCCCCAAAAACCAGTGGGAAGCAGGCCGCGGGGGACGCCCCAAAGGCCAAAAGCTCCACTGGTTTGGGCAAACAAAAACCAAAGGCGGGCCCGCCGAACCCCATGAAGTCCCTATACCAAGAATTCATCCCCCAACAATCATCCCCGAATGAGATCTCATCCCCAGTTCAAGACCAGGCCAGACACAGGGGCTCTTCATCCACAGACGGACGAGGTGACTCCAACCCCGCGTCTGCCAAACCAGGGCAACCCGCAGCACAGCTGGATGATTCAAACGGCATGCCTGCCGATTCCCAGCAACAGAACCACAGGGATAGGCAACCCGCAGCAACAACTATCTCCTCATCTATGCAAACTGGGCCTTCCTACTAGGGTGGATCTTAATTTCTGACCCCCCGTTTTTATTGGCGAAATGGGGTCCTTAGGATAGTAGAAGATCATTAACGAGTCGCATTTGATCCGGAAAAAATTGTATCAGCTTAAGGGGAGGGCTCAAAACTGGGTCAAAACGCCAAAATTGGTGGTTTTTTAAGTATTGCCGCCGAACCAGATGAGATATCAAAACGCCTGAGGTCTTAAAAGATGCGGAATTTAATTACCTTTCCAACGAGCTATGAATCATTTTCGCAGCACAAATGTTTCCACTTGAATCATTGCATTTTATGCAGAAAAGTAGGGTCAAAAATATCAAAATCAGTCCAATTTCGGTAGGGTGAAGTTCTAAAATTGGCCGAGTTGACATCTCTTTATAGAAATGGATGGGTCTCAACAAGACAAACAAAAAATTTCAACACATGCCATGGGCTAAAATGTGAAATGAAGCAGTAATTTAGCCTCAGATGAATTCAACGGCACCGAGAAATGGACACAGGGTCTGAATGTTCCATACCTGCATCCAATAGATATGGGCCCCTGCAAAAACTCCAAGAAGAAACCAGCCAACAGCATTCAAAAGACAACAAAGAAAAAGAAAAAAACAAAAGAAAAAGAACCAGAAAAGGCAAAAGAATCAAGATAAGAAAAAGTAAATGAAAAAAATAACAAAAAAGAAACAAACAACAATCCCCCAAAAGATGCTACAAAGCCACCACCCCCCCCCCTAAACCAAAATCAAAATCAACAAAAAAAAACAACAGCAGCAGAACAATGAACAACAAAACCCCAACCTGCAGCGGGACCCACAAAGAGACCCCAGATTAGTCAAGAGGAAACCAACGCCCCCACCCATCATCCTGGAAGAATTCAAGAACCACACAAGGATTCAGTTCCTCATCAAAACAATCTGCAAAAGCAAAGTTGAGGCTGCTACTCGCGGAAGATCCATTAAGAGGATATGGTACACCTCCCCAGAAGCGGCATTTCCAGGGACGCGCAGGGACCTCTTTCTAACGCCGTCCTGGCCACACCGTTCGAGGTATCGATATGGAACTTGGCACACGGGCTCAGAAGGGATCAATCTCAATGACGGTGCGTTCAAAAAATTTTTTGAACGCCTAAGTTAGGCCTTAGGGCAGTTCAGTTCTGGTCCAACTTTCGTTCACAACACATCCTGAGAAAATGGGAATATCGAAAAAAGGGCGATGGTACGTTCTAGATTGACATTTACTCTTTCCGGAGATGTTATCCCCTTTCCTGTGCGTTCAAAATTAGAGGTCAAAACCCGGTAGACCGCAGACCTCTGCACGGCGACTTTCGGCGATTCCGGAGCCGGTCAAAGAGAGGAAGTGCAATGTAACTGTCGACGAGCTGTACCGGCCCCAGACTCCGCACATGTTGTCGCCGACTTTGTTTCACTGAATAGGGACTGCCTGGGCACAGCCTGGCCCGCCACCCTCGCCCAAGGATCGGCACCGTGACAGGTCAATTTATGGCCCCGTGCCTAAATAGTTAAATTTTTCAGCGGTTCATTTTGGAGTTGTGAAACTTGCTCAGATGGATTCAACGGGCCATTGCGGTGTCAGGCGACTAAAGATTCAAGTTCTTGCGACTATTTTGACCTAGCCTGTCCCGAGCGTAATCAAGTCCGGTGGCGGGGCTAGTACTGGAGAGCTAAGGTCAAAATGGTCGTAGAACTTATTTTGAGTTGCCTGAAACCACAATCGTGCGCTGGACCCCATTCGCCAAATCCTAAAACTCTAAAATAATCCGTTCAAAAATTTAACTGCCGGGGTCTGGGGCCCATAAATCGGCCTGTCACGCTGCCGACCCTTCGACTCATCGGCTCCGGCGCGTGAATGAGGCGGGGGCGGGGGGCCGGCAGGGGGCCCGGCGCAGAGACAAAGCAGAGGGCTGCATGCAGGCAGCCAGGAGGGGCAGGGGCGGGGGCAGGCGGGGGTCAGCATAGCCCGTCTACGACAGTGCCTTTTCAAAACTCTGCGAGATGACAAAAATCACCGTGCAGAGGTCTGCGGTCTACCGGGTTTTGGCCTCTAATTTTAGTCGCACAGGAACGGGGATATCATCACTGGAAAGAGCAAATGTCAATCTAGAACGTACCATCGCCCTTTTTTCGATATTCCCATTTTCGTAGGACGTGTTGTGAACGAAAGTTGGACCAGAACTGGACTGCCCTGGGGCCTAACTTAGGCGTTCAAAAAAAATTTTGAACGCACCGTCATTGAGATTGATCCCTTCTGAGCCCGTGTGCCAAGTTCCATATCGATACCTCGAACGGTGTGGCCAGGACGGCGTTAGAAAGAGGTCCCTGCGCGTCCCTGGAAATGCCGCTTCTGGGGAGGTGTACCATATCCTCTTAAAATCTCAACTACAACCACCCATGATTATCATCAACTGCTAGAAGCCTTCAGATCAGAAGGTAATATAGGTTTCCATTCCTACCAACATTCTGAATTAAAAACTGAAGATGTTGTCATCAAAGGCATTCACCCCAGCATCACCAACGAAGAAATTGAAGAGTCCCTACAAGAACAAGACATTTTCCTATCAAGTATTCACCGCCACAAAACTCTAGATGGCGCACCCACGACCCACGTCTACTGTTAGCATAACAGTTAAACCACTGGGGTGACTACAGAAATATCTACAATATTTCCCACGTTTGTCACCTTAAAATCCGTATTGAAAAACGTAAAGCTAAAACTAGAGCAATCTGCATGCGGTGCTGCCACTGGGGTCACACCTCAAATTACTGTGATTCCATTGCAATAAAATGTGGCCTATGTGGAGGCGCACATGAAGTTGAAAAGCATCCAGCAGATACCCCAGTATCCTGCCCTCACTGTCAAGAGCCCCATGCCATCAATAGTCCTAAATGCCTAACCATGCAAGAAAAAATTCAACCAGCAACCCGAAAAGAAGAAGAACCCAGAAGACACTACCAAGAAGCCCCAATCCCCAAAGTAAACCCATGGTTCAATAGAACACGGAGTACTGCTCAGCAACCCACCAACAATGAGACTTCAAGAGCTATTCCCCACCAAGAACAGCCTCGCAGAACACAAAGAAGAAACCCCTACTATCAAGCCTCCCATTCAACCTCAGAAGAAAGCACCGACGATGAAACCGTTGATCCAACTTATGATCCAAACAAAAACCAACGCCGAAGAAACCAGCACAAAGAAGATAGTGATTCAGACAGCGAAATTAACATGGGCTCCTGGATGGCCGATATGATGAAGCAAATGATCAAGATGCTCAAGAAACAAATGATGGAGATGATGAAGAACATGATGAAAGAGATGATGAAGGCCTTCCGATGCCCAGTATAATATCGTGGAATGTAAATGGATTCAGACTGCGCGAGTCTGAGGTACTGCAACTCCTAGAGGTCTATGCTCCAGACATCCTTCTCTTGCAAGAAACCAGGATACCAGTGGGACAAAAAACTCCCCTGTACTTCGGTTACACCACTACCAGAAAGAATGGAGACGCAGACGCAAGTGGGGGTCAGCTCACCTTCACCAAAAACTCAATTTGAGTGCTTGGAAGAAGATGGCCTGGTTGAACTCTCCTACAACGACCTCCAAGAGGCCGCGCTGCGGGTTGCCGCTCAAGCAGCCCCTGCGCGTGTG